AATTCTGAAGAATACTAATGCTGTACCAAATTTCGAGTTTTCCATAGGTTTGAGCACAAACATGGATGCGCCCAGCAGGCTACATTTGAACAGCTTCGTTTGTACAGTGCTCTTATAATTTAATATATTTCTATAATTGAAGCACAGAGAACAATTAAAAATCTTCAAGCAGGAACTCAAGACAAATATTTTGCAGTTTATGGGATTATCAACCCCTGTGAAAAGTGTCAGTGGCAGGGCTTATAATACACTCCTCTATTCTGTTGCATCACCAAGTTGGATTTTGAAAGATTTCTTTTGGTGGTGGTGGTGGTGGTGGTGGTGGTGGTGGGGGGGGGGGGGGGTGGGGGTGGAGGGTGGGGGTGGAGAGGAGGGGGAAGTTACAGTTAATGGACAAGGCCGCACCTGATAGAACAGATTAGCCCTGTTATAGCTGGACCGGAGTATGACGCAAGCGTGCAGGTTCAGCAAGCTCTTGACATCTTCAAGCACACCAGCTGTAGCCGTGGCAGTCAATCCCAGCACGGGCACCTCAGGAAACTGTCGCTTGAGGACACCCAGCATCTTATAATCTGCAGAGAAAAAAACATCCAAGCATCCTTCATGATGTGGGGGAACCTCAATGAGCATCATATCCTGGATATCAATAGATAACAATTAAACAATACAGGAAATAAATGAAGTATGATACAGGGAGGTCCAAAAAAGTTTACACTTTTTCAGAGGCAGATTTCTTAGAAGTGAAGAGACATGTTAAAACGGTTTTACGATATTCCTTAACTACAAGATCCTGGTCGTGTAGATGGTGAAAATGGCTTTGAAATATAGCTCAAGTTAAGAAACTGTGGCCATTTACAGAAGAATAGTCAAAAACTAGTTTGTCCACGTCTATTGCAGTCATGTAGACATAATTACAACTAGAGGTTGTAAGAACAACCACACGGTGTTGGGCCATGGATTTCCGCAAACTTTGCCACACACATCAAATCAAAATATTCATGTTGAAATCCATGTTTGAATTTTTCAACATGCCGCCAGAGGGCGCTCTAACATTTGATGATGTCACCTGTACAATTTTTGTACAGTACTGCCTAGGCAGACACTGACATCGTTGAAAGGAAGTTCACATCTTCTGCCAATTTCAAATAATAAGGCACTTCCGGTTTCGACCGGAAGGAAGGGTCAAGTGATTTTGCATTTAATACCAAAAATTATGACCCTGCAATATTGTATCGATTGCCATAAAAAACAAAATCAAATCTGTAGCAGTTGATTTTATATTGATTTTCAAAGATTAAATCTAGAAATCTTTGATTGCTTGTAATATGATAATTGATGACATCATTTTGACATCATTACCAGAAAGTTCAAGAGTTATTTCAACTGTGCTATATGTAGCCAAATCTTGATTATATCTATCATGAATGATTTTTTAGCAATTTTTGAAGGTTTTAAAGGTCTTTTTATTGTAACTGCCGATATGATGACTTAATAAAAAAATTTTCACGCACATATTTTTCTGCATGAACTTCATCATGTACATTAAGTTTGAAGCAATTACCGCAAATCTCGCCACATACATCGAGTGATAATGCGTTTTGGACGGTTTTGAACCTGCCGCTAGAGGGCGCTGTCACATTTTATGACGTCACCTGTAATATATTCCTGAAGTACAGCCTAGGCAGACACTCGCATCTTTGAAAGCAAGTTCGTATTTTCTGCCAATTTTAAATAATAAGGTACTTCCGGTTTCGACCGGAGGGTCACATGATTTGCACTTAATACCGAAAATTACGACCCTGCAATTTTGTTTCAATTGCCATAAAGAACAAAATAAAATCTGCAGCAGTTGATTTTACATTGATTTTCAAAGATTAAATCTAGAAATCTTTGCTTGCTTGTAATATGATACTTGATGACGTCATTGTGACGTCATTACCAGAAACCTCCAGAGCTATATTTACTGTGCTATATATAGCCACATCTTGATTATATCTCTCACGGTTGATTTTTTTTAGCAATTGTTTAAGGTTTACAGATTGTTTTATTGTAACTTCCGGTCTGATGACGTAATCAATTTTTTTTTGTGAGGAGGTCTTGTCTGCATTATGGTCATCATGTACATTAACTTTGAAGCGATTACCGCAAACTTCGCCACGGACATCAAGTGAAAATGCATTTTTGACGTTTTTTAACCTGCCGCTAGAGGGCGCTCCAACACTTCATGGCATCACCAATCATTTTTTTTGAAAGATCAATCGAGGCAGACACCAACAGCGTTAAAAGCAAGTTCATATCTTCCGGTTTTGACCGGAAGGAAGGGTCATGTGATTTTGCACGCACAAGATAAATTGAAGATTATGTATTATCATGTCAATTCCCAAAAAATTCAAGTTCCGGTCTCGCACGGTTGATTTTATATTGAATTTCAATGATTAAATTTATTATTTTTGAAGTGACGTCACGTGACCCATGATGACGTCATGATGACGTAATTGCAAAAAAGCACATCTTCAGTGGGTTGTGCATTCATGTATTGACAATTGATGTTAATATATGTGTTCATTTTGACAAACAGTTGGAAACGAGTGTGTCTTGAATAAAAAAGAATAATAGTAAACTCTTACAATAACAATAGGTGTTGGGCTGAGGCCCAACACCTAATTATTACAGTTATTTGTGCATGCAGTGCTATTGTGATGACCATATCTCACAAACTTATGTGTGGACAAACTTGCTTTCGACCATTTTTCTTTAAACATCGCCATTTCTGAATTAAGGTTTTTTTCAGTGCCGTTTTCACCATATGCCACAAAGATGCTGTAGTTTAGGAACATATTGAAACAATATTAACGTGTCTCCCCAATTCCAAGAAATTTGCATCTGAAAAAGTGTAAACGTATTTTTTGGATCACCCTGTACAGGGTGGTTCAAAAGAAAGGACACCCACATTTGACAGTAATTTTCACCTATTTTAAAATTATTTTTAACTGTCGATTAGTAGCTATTAAAGTACTGGCCTTTAAGCAAATGTGACGGAAAAAATCGTTGCATTTGCACATTTTGTCGTTAAGCTATGCTAATTTGAACATTTCATATGCGAAACCTGTTTGTCCACGGAGGTATACATTCCCTTCGCTTGACTGAGCTCAGCTATCGGAGCTTTATTTGAAAGGGCATGGCATTTGATAGTTAGCTTAGGTCATGTTATGGAGCAATGAACTTAAGCCGACAGCTCATTGAGTAGATGATCTTAACACTGACATGAATAATTGGACAGCTTCAATAAAAGTTACCAGGGCAAAATCTATTTTGGTGGGAAGGTTTTTTAATCTTTATGAACTACGAAAACATCCAATTTACATAGAATAACCCGTGGACAAGACTGATTTTGGTGACTTGTATTCAAATTATCATAATATCACTATTTTTGTGACTTTTACTAAGCTTTTTTCACCATGCATAGTTAAAGGCCTATACTTTACTACTAGGTGAAAAAAAATATTTAAAATAAGTGCACTAAGTAGGTGAAAATTGCTGTCAAAAGTGGGTGTCCTTTTTTTGGAACCACCCTGTATAGTCATTTTCCCTGATAAATCTAACAGTTTGAATGCCTGCCTTAAACATGTAGTCCCTGTACTACTCACTGTGCCTGTTACATATCCTGCCTAGCTCGATCAGCAGGGAATAACCACAGCTAATACTTCATTTGTGGTGTCTTGCACCCTCAGATGTAAAAGAAAATGCCATGTCTCACATCAATGAGAAATAAAGTTTATGAAATCAGCAGATCTATGGGCTCCGTGCGCCAACGAAAGAGGGCGCCCTATCACTTAGCAATGACGTCCCATGGGCAGGACATTTCGCTGGTTGATGCGCACCGTTCCTTGTGTGTGACGCACGTACACCAGGGGATTCAGTTGTACTATGTACACGCAGTGCTAGTGGTGGACGCGCATCGCGGCAAAATTCCAGTCAGGCAAGATGGCGTCGGTCGGTCACCCCCAACTGTACTTTCTTTGCCGGTGAGGGGGTACTTGTGAACGGAGCGAATGGGGACAGGATTCAAGGAGCACACAAGATCAACCCCCCCCCCCCCCTCTCAGCTGTGGGTGAACATTTAGTTCAACAAAGGCACAACATCACTTTGGACAATGTACAAGTCATAGCACACGAGGAACGCTTCTGGAATAGAAAGATCAGGGAGGCCATAGAGACCCAGAACCCAACACTCAACAGGGACGCAGAATACGACCTGCCCGCCATCTATGACGATCTGCTCTCACGTGACCGCCCCAAAGATGGTCACGTGAGTGGAGGGATTTAGCCACAATGCTGAATGAAGAGGTCGTGACGACCTCGCAAGCTATGTCATGCTTAACAAAATCAGACTCTGAGAGGTAACTATTATTTCTATATCAATATGACAGAGCCCAATATCAGTATCCATGCTGCCCTTTATGAAAATGATGTGTATTTTTATGTAACAAAAGTCTTTGAATGAGTAGTGATGGCATAGGCCATCACGGAATACAAATGTTTAACAATTGGCCTGTTAACACATATTAACAAAATCTTGAGTGAAGATTTTACTGCTCCCCATTAAAATCACGTCACACAAATTTGTTTGCAAAACTGGATGTCGTGATCGTGTAGTAACAGCTTTCAGATACTGTTCTATTCTGCACTACAGAATGTAACACTTAAATTAGGCAGTTTTAACATCTTTTCGTTTTCTGTACAATATGGGGTGATACTGGGGAGAGAGCAGCTTTGTTGGTTGTTTTGTCTGTCTGTAATTGACAGGCATGACGTTCCAGGTGTCATGGTCTGTAAGAAAAAGACATCTGCATCAAAAAGTCGGCAGTGTTTGAATCAGTCTCTGGCAAGTAAAGGAAAGTTACTGACCTGGCCTGAAGTCGTGCCCCCACTGACTGCAGCAGTGCACTTCATCAATAGCGATCCTGGCCAGCCGTCCCTTGATGTAACACTTCTGGAGCTGGGCCATGAAGCGTTTACTCTTAGCGATCTTCTCTGGGGTGACGTACAGCAGACGCAGGGGGGCTTTGGGATCCAACATGGCTGCATTGGTTGCTTTCAACTGAGGATTGAAAAAAAGTGGATAACCAATTCGCTGGAATAGTGAGCCACGACGTAACACAGAATAATGTTGTGCAAACCGAAACCTGCCCGACCCAAAACCGACCCAATAGTGAGTCGCGACGTAACACAGAATAAAATTGTGAAAACCAAAACCTGCCCGACCCGAAACCGACCCAATAGTGAGTCGCGACGTAACACAGAATAATGTTGTGCAAACCGAAACCTGCCCGACCCGAAACCGACCCAATAGTGAGTCGCGACGTAACACAGAATAATGTTGTGCAAACCGAAACCTGCCCGACCTGAAACCGACCCAATAGTGAGCTGTGATGTAACACAGAATAATGTTGTGCAAACCGAAACCTGCCCAACCCGAAACCGACCCAATAGTGAGTCGCGACGTAACACAGAATAATGTTGTGCAAACCGAAACCTGCCCGACCCGAAACCAACCCAATAGTGAGTCGCGACGTAACACAGAATAATGTTGTGCAAACCGAAACCTGCCCGACCCGAAACTGACCCAATAGTGAGTCGCGACGTAACACAGAATAATGTTCTGCCAAACGAAACCTGCCCGACCTGAAACCGACTTTGGGTCGAGGCCAGTCAGTTTTTTAGTTGGGTCGAGTCATTTCAGTTGGGTCGAGTCGGTTTTGGTTTTGCGTTTGCCATTTTTGGGTCGGGTCGGTTAAGCCATCTTGTGAAAAACCTGAAATAAAAAGAAAGGTTCGAAAATTGTAGCGGTGCAATATTATTGTCACTGTGCCCGGTACAGAACGACTAACGTCAACCCACCGAATGAGCATGTGGCTTGTGGTCTATCACGTACAGTCTATAATGTGTAGGCCCACCCATAAGTCATGTTATGATTCTTTACCGTACCGTATGGTTTGATTCTGTTACTGAGAAAAGACGATTGTCCTCGACGCTCACAAGTTCAGGCACGAAAAGCGGACACAGTTGCCCAAACCAGATATTGTTGGTTTTTTTTCAGTGTTGTAGTACTCATACTCGGTACTCGTACTCGAGTACTACTCGAGTACTTTTTGGAGTACTCGTACTCGTACTCGTACTCGAATGTCAAAGTACTCGTACTCGAAATGATGGCACTTGTACTCGGGCAGCAGAGTACTAGTACTCGCCATGTCAAAACTGTACTCGATCGTTAAAGTACTCGTACTCGAATAGCAGTACTCGGGGGGAAAAAATGTTATAGCTTCACTTACCATGGCCTTATTTTATTGATACTTTCAGTTTGAATGATTGATTGGCTTGTTGAGAGATCGAGATTTCCTGATTTTCTTCTGTGCAAGTCCGGACAAATACATTTAACAGCTGGCCATGAGTGGGTCTGTATATCGGTCTGACTGGGCCTGGGCCAATTACGCACAATGAACCATTTGCCGTATGGCCGTATTCGGAAATGCGAGTACTCGTACTCGTACTCGAAAGTACAAGTACTCGTACTTGTACTCGTACTCGTACTCGGAAGTACAAGTACTCGTACTCGGAGACCCGTTCTTGTACTCGGAGGTACAAGTACTTGTACTCGTGCTCGGCAACCCAAGTACTCGGCATTACTCGCTACTCGGAAAATAGTACTCGACTACAACACTGGTTTTTTGTTGGGTCGGGTTAGGTCGGATTAGGGAGTTCAGATCAGTTTCAGTTTGGATTCGGTTTATATCTTTAATGTTTTGGGTCGGTTTGGCCTGGTCAACCGGACCCAATGCACAACACAAACTCAGAAGTGCAACCATGATTTCTGGTTCACGCACACTGCACAGGCCCAGTGAACACCATGGTTTAGTATTTGAACCCATTGCATAATTGACTTGACTCTGGTGGGGCACGTGTGGTCTAGCGGTGGAGCACAGGATTCATGATCCTGAGATTGTGGGTTTGAGCCCTGCCGCAGCCATGCGTGCTGTGCCCTTAAGTAAGGTGCTTTACCTCAATTACTCCTCTCAACCCAGATGTTAAATGGGTACCGGCATTATTCAATGCTGGGAAGGTTACAGACTCGCTGTGGAGGAGGTGTGGCGATCCCCCCCACAGCAGCATTTGATGCACTCGAATCTGGCCCAATAGCTTCAAAAGAGAGATGGGCTCTCCGTTCCTGTGAACACAGGTTTATCCCCCTTACCTTATTTTGATTCTGAAGTAAAAATAAGCACAACCGTGTTTGCAACTTTTGTGACGACAATCTGCTGAAAGGTAGTGAACAGTTTTCTGTTACTAATTTGTGAAAATGTTCTACAAATGTAGGACGTAAAATTGCTGTCTGTGATCGCGTGTGTTAAACGTATGTGAAATTTGTCGTTACGGAATGCACATGAACCGTTGTTGAGAAAGTGAGCCTAACCTGGGGAGGAAGTGATGTCACACTTTCTCAGCGTATGGCACAACTATAAATAGGGCATTCATATAACAAGTGAAT